AACTAATCAAATTTGAGCATTTTTCTGCATATCAGAGGCTTCCAAAGAGGTTAGTGAGGTGAGGGGGGAAAGTGCACTATAATTAATTATAAAGAATGCACAGGTGGTTAGACCTCACTGCAGTTAATATAAGGTAAAGAATTTTCTCATGATTGTTTGGATAAGCCTGTGCTCTGTCTGGATTCACAGTGCCCAGGACTGAAGTTTATGGTGCGTGATAGATACCTTTAGGCAGAGAATGAGCAACCATCTTTGCATTAATTTGTAACAAAGAGGCTGGTGGGAACATTGTCCCATGCAGCTGAGAATTATTAGTGAATTCCTTTGACCTTAAGAAACCTAAAAATCAATGTTGTAGAAAATTCAGACTGTAGCCCAGCCCCTAGTTTTTCTTAAGATTTGAGCAGAGAGACCACAATAATAGTTTTATAGAAGTAAAAAGAGCGATGTGACCTCTCCCTGCCTTTATTTTAATCTTTAAACTACTATGGCACCATTTACTTTAGGAAAAGAGATTTTAATTGTTTGTTGATATTTCTGTATTCAGTATGGCTGTGATGATTTGAGGAATCTGTGTACAACTTATGAAATCCAGTTTGATTTTCTGAACTGTCTGTATCCTTATGTCTTATGGCTGTCTTTCACTATATCCTTAGTTCAAACTGTTGAGCTAAGGAAAGGGAGCTGGCACTGGGACATCTGTCTATGAATAGGTTGGTTGTTAAAGATTGTCAGCTCCTAATCAGAACTTCCCTTGGAAAGAACAAAAGGGAACTGCCCCCCGAGATAAACCAGTTTTCCCCAACTTCTCTACAGAGGGCTGGAGTTTGAAGGAATGCAGTTTCCCCAGCAGAGGGAATAAATAAATGAGGTGTTTGGACAGCCCCTTAAAAACACAATGACTGGGTGGGTCAGACAGACAAAGGAAGATCGGGGCAGGAGAGAGGAGCAAAGGAACGGGAAAGGAGACTTCTTGAGTGCAGGACCTGCCAAGGCTGAAGGCAGTTGGCACTGGAGAGAGACACTCCTTAAATCGGAGGAGAAACCAAGAGTTGCAGGAGGGAGATCCTGGACCCCTAAAGGACTCTGACCAAATTCCAGAGAATACTCAAGAGTGGTGAGGAAACTGACAGGGAATGGAGCATAGATGTTTTATTGCTTTTTACCTAGATTTGTGTATCTCTTGTGCTGTCCACAGTGAAGAAAAATAGTTTTAGAAGCCCGGGTGCAAGGCCTGGATCTTTTTGCTTCAACTATCATGTCTCTGAAGATATAAATTGTAAACTAGAGTGCCCACAAGGTTGGAAGGCATCCAGCACTAGTCCGAAGGGCTGCGCAGTTGGACCGCAGGGTCTCAGCTTTTCAAATAGGTGCTAGAGAATCTGCACCCCAAGAGTGTCCCTAGAGAGTCAGAGCCTGGACTCTGCTCAGGCTCAGAAAAACTTAAAAGCACATAAACCCAGTGTGTGGGACCCAAACAGAGTGGCCTGGGGAATGTCCAGGAGTGGCAGTTTGACTAGGGCTGTGATGGTGGAGCACACAGATTATCTCAAAAAAGGATGAAATTGTCAGAAATGCTCTATTGTTACATTACAGTAGGGCGATTTTCTTTTGCAATCTTTGAATCATTGATATGCTCTCATAAATTCTTAATTACAGTCATAGTACTTGAGCAGTCAGCTTTGGGGGAGGGGGCGGGGGGGAGAGAGAGAGAGGAGGAAAACAAAGCTAGAAAGAAATGATGCCAGATAATGAGTTAATCTTTTCAGGGGCCCATGGATATGACAATAATGCAAGGAATTTATGCTGATTTTCTTTTCAAAAAAGTTATTAGCATTGTCAGTTTGAATGGATTTGAAAATCTGTAGCAGAGAATTAGGCCAAAATTAAATATCTGTTGCAAAAAATTATTATAACAAAATAAACTTGATTTTTTAAAAATAAATAAGGGCATTTGACATATTGTCCGAATCAACTTTATTACTAATACTAGACTTTCCATCTGAGTATTTTAAAACTTTTAAAAAATTGGATAAGCATTATCCATCCCCATTTTATGGAAGAGGAAACTGAGGCACAAGGAGGCTAAGTTGCTTGCCCAACGTTACACACTAAATTGGTGACAAAGCTCGAAGTAGAACTTGTGTGGCATATACCCTTATAGTGGATTATCCACATAGAGGATAGTAGCCTACTACTGTAGCTCAAGTAGTAGAGGTCTGAATTGTGGATTTAAAATCCGAGAGTTCAAACCCTGCTGATGATCCTTGCAAGGGATCAGTCTGGTTTCATGTCTTTGTACAGTAACTAGAGCAATGGGGTTTCTGAATTTGAGACTTTGAGCTCTATTGCAGTACAAATACATCATAATTATTACTGCCCACAACAAACCTTATAGTTAACACAGTGTAATGTTATTTACAACTCAACAAAAGAGAGCAATGAGAATAAGTTTCTAAAATATAGTTCAATTCTTCCTTTTTGATGTGATCATAAGTACTTTATGAAATCTTGGGCCAAATCTGAAGTCCTTGCTTTGACCTGCCCATTGAGAATGTTCAGTTGTCTACAGAAACACCACCCAAACTGAATTTATGATCTTTCTATATTCCCACCTAGATTAAATGAAACTCATCTGTTTCTAATCCATTTCTGTTCCCTTACTGTTTTATTTTCCAGCTAAATACAATTATTACCTCTTTATTCCACCACTTCTGTTCATATCATTTGATTGCTTTTGAATGTCATCTGATTCTCTTTTCCTTTTCATTATTTTGATTGCTTACACATAGCATTTGTGGTAGCCTTCATTTTCTTCTTACATTTCTCCTTTATGCAATGCATCTTATTTCTCCACTTCCTTTTAGCTAAAATATCTGTTTTTCTTCACTATCTGAAAGCATCCTTACAATTGAAAAGTTTTTTACTTTCAGCAAAACTAGCATTACTTTGTAACTGACCAATTTGTGCAGTGTGATTAGATTTCATAGTAAATTCAGTACCTGTAAATGTTTGCAGTGATTTCTGAGTATTTTTTTTTTTTTAATTGTTAGTGGTTGCAGTTTTGGAAAGTGGCATTCCATACTGAAAGTCCATTTTCCTCTCCCACCATTATTATGTTTATATTGAAATAGGTTAAATTATTTTCTTGGGATGAGAATACACTACAAATAATTGGTATTATGACAGTTTCATTACTATATAATCACTATTTTTTAAATTAAAACAGAGTGCCTATCAAGAGTACAAATGTAAAATCCATACCAGATTATCAGAAATGTGGGAAATGTATAGCTATGGTTGAAGGCGAATGATCTATTGTCTAATAATTAAGCAAGGAAATGCAGACACACCTGGGATTGGGGGAGAGAATGAGACTTTAGCTCTTTGTGTTCCAGTCTATCTGCTTATTAATAGACTACTAGCTCATATTCAAGTTGCAACTTCAGCCAGACAATGTGGACAATAAAGAGACTGTATTGCTTGAATTGGATGGAAAGGAGATATAGCTGAGTATCATCAATGTATCGATAGCATTGCAGCCCAAACTGCCTGATTGTTTGTCCTAGCAACCTCACACATATAGGCTAAAAGCCTTCAGAATTTGTATTATAGCACCATCTCTAGAGACCTCCACCAAGATGGCAGGCCCCATTGTGCTAGGCATTGTTGAGACGACCAGTAAGACAGTTTCTGGTCTAAATTCCTTACAGTCTAAATAGACAAGACAGACAAGAAGTGTGAGTAAGGAACTATTATTCGTTCCCCATTTTACAGTTGAGGAAATGAGGTACAGAGAAATTAAATGAGTTGCCCACGGTCATACAGGAAGTCTGTGGCAGAGCTGGGAGTTTAACTCAAATCTCCTGAGACTATTCCAGTGTGTTAGCCAGAGAACCATCTTTCCTCTCCAGTCATCTGCCTATAAAAGCATGTAACACAGTCATAGTCTCCATGACCTATCCTAAAATCTGTAACAAAAGGGGACAAGTTAAATTGAGGATCCTAGAAAATGCTGTCCAGTATCAGAGGGGTAGCTGTGTTAGTCTGGATCTGTAAAAAGCAACAAAGAGTCCTTTGGCACCTTGTAGACTAACAGATGTACTGGAGCATAAGCTTTCGTGGGTGAATACCCACTTCGTATTCACCCACGAAAGCTTATGCTCCAATACGTCTGTTAGTCTATAAGGTGCCACAGGACTCTTTGTTGCTTTTTACAGAAAATGCTAGGGCTGCCTCTCCACAATCTTCTTAATAAATCTTCCCTGAAAAAAGATTAGAGACTGGCAATTGGCAAGACTGTTTAAAGAGTTGGTTTCTTGAGCACGGGCCTTCACAATTGCGCCAGCTAGGGATGCTGGCACACTGGCCTGCCAGATTGCCAGCCTGATATGGAGCTTTCCATCTCTAGGTTTGAAAACTGCTGAGGTTGGCAGTAACCGCAGTTGCTTATTATCTGATAACTGTTTAGTGGTCTCTTTGAACAAAATTAGTTGGCTTGATCTAGTCCCTAGTGGTCATGTATCCATATAACAAAAAACACTATCTCTCAGCAGAGAGAGGCCCAGGCTTTAATGAACATGGAGACTGAACTGTCCTCTGACCTGCTGTAGTGATGCTTCCAGAACACTGGCAAGACGCCCTGGAGAAACTTAGCATTACTGCAGCTGGTTTGTATGTAGCCAGTAGGTAGACTGAGAACTCTTCAGGTTAGTCAAGCCAGATCCTTTCTCTAGCACTAAATTTACTTTCAAACTTTTATGAAAGAGATGGGGGGATGGGAAGATATGTGTAAGGATGCAAGTAACAGAAAAATGAAAGGAAAATAAACTGAAGCAAGGCCATTGAAATGGCATCCAAAACGTAGAGAGGGACATTTTTATGATTTAGGGCTTATTGGTGGTGGGCGTGACAAATGTATTTTGCTATTGAACTCAAAACACATCATAAACCTCAGTAGTATTTTCTTAAATCATATTTTTTCCCCTTGTCTCCTATAGGAATAGATAATTGGTACCACCGTAGGGAGCCTGCCTCTGTTAGGATCAGGAGCAAAAGATCGCGGTCACTCATTCTGAGATACAACTGGAACTCTCTCCTTTGCAAACAGTTTTTTCTCTTTTCTCCTTCAAAAGGTATATTAACCCTAAACCCTCTCAAGCTCGTTAGTCTTCTGTTTTCTTAGATTCTACTGTTTAGAGACAGTTCTAAGTGGTTTTACAATTTTGTCACTTCAGACTGGACTGGCTGATCTCTGCCACTGATGCCTTCAGGAACATCATTTTAGATATTGTGTGATGTAGGGGTTCCTCGTTTTCCCGCATACTGCTGGACACAGTCTCTAAGGTGGTGATCTATTTGTATCTTGACTGTGATTAAGGGAATGTGTGGAAGACCGACAGATTTTTCAGGCCTTGTCCACACTTAAATTTGCACTGATTTAAGTAAAGGTATGATTTTTAAAGCACTTTGTTAAACAGATTCAAACCTGTGTGTGATACTCTTTAAACCTGTTTTTTATTGGTTGTGTTGCAAAAAGTGTAGGTGCAAACTAAACAAATTTAACCAGTGGTATAACTAGGGTGACCAGACAGCAAATGTGAAAAATCAGGACAGGGGTGGGGGGTAATAGGAGCCTATATAAGAAAAAGACCCAAAAATCGGGACTGTCCCTATAAAATCGGGACATCTGGTCACCCTAGGTATAACCACAGGGACTTACACTGATTTAACTAACTAGCATTTTAAACCAGTTTTACTTAAATTAGTGCAACTTCTCCATGTAGACAAGGCTTGTATGTAGACAACTATAGTCTTTTTGTTTTCCTCTTTTGGTACATGTAGCCAAATCCTCTGGGCAGTGATGGCATGTCTGTACATGGATTGGTGAATGGAGGGAATATGAAAACACCGTGCATTAGAGTAAGTAATTTTACTCTTAAAATAAATATTATGTATCTATCAATAGTCCTTAATCAACTAATTTGTACAGCAAATAAGTCCATGAATAGTATTTCCATCATTCATTCAGAATAGGGTCTGGCAAAGAGAATTCCTTGATCTCTTCCATAATATGTGGGAATAAAAACAGCAAATGTGCGTTTATCAGAAAAACCTTTCTTAAAATTAAAACAGGAAACAAATGGAATTCCATTAACATTGTGTTGAACCAGTAAAATATTTTTAATTTGCAGATATCCTTTTGACTGAATACTGTAACGTGTTTATTTTGCAAAACTGGGTAGAGTCCTTGAACTTAAAAAAGCTGTTTGGTGCAGTGTAAACACATTACTTAACCAAAACACTTCAACTAAGGAAGTGTGCCCTTAGAGTGTGTATTTCTTGCGTTCCCTTAGGAATTTAGTGCTGTAGTTAAGTGGTAAGACTTTGCAAAGGCCATAAATGCACTAAGCAAATACTGAAGAGGCTTCAAGGGATCTTTCCTTTCTTCATCATCTTTAAAGCAGTCTCCTTTATCATATTACTGTAGATCAATATCACTCAGATATCAGTGGTTCAGGAACCAAATTGGCAATCAGCATTACCCAAAAGAGCCATTCATTATTTCATTTACTATTATATTCTCACAGCAAAGTGACTGACCAAGTTGTGACACTGTACGAAATATTGAGACACTCTATGATATTGTTAACACCAACATTAAAATATTGCAAGGAATCTAACCAGATATGCCATGTAAGGTATCTACGAAAATGCTATAATTTGCCAAAATGTGATGATCTTGTTTATATGTTTGCATCACCTTTAGATTGTGAGTTATAGATATGTTTGGCATATCTGTATTTTCAAACTTGTGCTGTTTTTCTCGGTGACACCACTTGACCAAATGGCATCAGCACTAAGCCAGCTTGATGGCCCATCATGGGACATCAGCTGTACAATAAACCCATTGATAAAGTCAGGGGCTACACCTGATGAGTCAGCAAGCCATGTAGGGGCATGCCTAAGGACAAAGAACTCTAAGGCTTTTCCATGTGCAGTGAAGCTTGTGTTTGAGACACAGGATGTACAGGCCTCATGGCAAAAGAATATAAAAGGCAGCTGCATCATTTCCATTTTGTCTTCATTCCTGCTTCTTACCTCTGGAGTAGCTTTTCTACAAACCGAAGCTCTGAACAAAGGACTAAATGACCCATCCAAGCTTTGGATGTGTTCCAGAAGGACTTCCAAGCCAGCAAACTCACCAGTACTGCTAAGAACTTGATACACCTCTACCCTGATATAACGCGACCTGATATAACACGAATTCGGATATAATGCGGTAAAGCAGTGCTCCGGGGAGGCGGGGCTGTGCACTTCAGTGGATCAAAGCAAGTTCGATATATCCCAGTTTCACCTATAAGATTTTTTGGCTCCCGACGACAGCGTTATATCGAGGTAGAGGTGTATATGGACTTTGAAGTCTCGGTATGTATCTGATTGCTTTACCATTTAACAACTCTCTTCTTATTCTTTCTTTATAATAAACTTTTAGTTTTAGACAAGGATTGGCTAGCAGCGCGGTATTTTGGGTAAGATCCAGACTAATATTGACCTGGCACATGGCTGACCCTTTGGGGTCAAAAGAACATTTTGTATAGTGAGCAGAGTTTTTAAATAACTTCTCACTGTACTGGATCTAAGTGCTGATTAGGAGCCAGAGAACTGGAATGCAATAAGGGGGCTGTGTGATTTCTTTATTCAGCTTCTTGATAACCAGAGTGGAGGATCAGAGGCACAGTTTGTGATTGGATGGGGAGTTTAACTTCAGTTAACTCCTACCAGTCTTGGGAGTATCTGCTCTTTTGCAGCCTGCCCTGACTTTGCCGTTTTCAGAGAGGGCTGCCCCGGCACTCTGGGTCACATAGGTATTATTATTTTATCAACTACAACTGGTTAATAACACAGTAAAAGCATCCTGATTTGTTAATAACTTAGATTGGTTAATAATTAAATCACACAGTGTTTTAATAACGTGTGCTGGAGCTGCAGGAGACACACTAAAAAAGCCACTGTTTGAGTATCACTGCTGTAGATCATACTTCTAAATAGAGCCTTATTAGTAAAGATAGTTGATGGATTTTTAATATTTCTCTAATAGTCCTATCACTTTGAACTTCTCAAAATTTACTTTGACTTGGCTGGATCACTTCTGGGTGTGAGTCTCCAAGTTCATTGGCATAGGTGGCACAGAAGTCTTTCCTTTGGGGAGGCTATGGAGTACTGGAAGCTCCCTAGAAGTGTGGGGGCCAGCGGCTCCCACACCGTGGCTCTGCCTTCCCTCAAAAGGCCCTACCCTCGCTCCACTGCCCAGCCCCAGCCTTATGCTCTGCTGCGGGGCTCCTCACTGCTCCCCCATCCTCTGGCTCCTCACTGCCACCCCAGGCTCCTTACTGTCCCATCCCAACCCCCTGGACTCCTTACTGCACCCTCCCCAAGGCTTATCGGTGCCCCACCTTCCCCCAGGGCTCAGTACCATCCTTTCCCCTGACTCTCACTCTGGTAGAGGAAAGGGAGAGACCTAATAATAATCTAAAACAAATATGTTAAAGAAATTAAGAAATCAATGTTTTTTTTATAAAATCATGAGAAAATCAAAGCAAATCAGAAGTATTTTGCTATCCGAATGGCCAGAACAGTGATTTTGTGGTTTAGGCCAGTATATACATACATCCGATAGTTCAGGTACATCTATCTGACTAAGAGGTCCTCTTAGCAGAGTAGAATCTCAGAGAAGGAGTTTTTCTACCTGTCAAGGAAGCTTTTTGCTTATGACCTCTCATTTATAATGTTAAGTCACTGTTCAGGTGTAAAGATACTTTATTACAGAATGACTTCTAATCAACCCAGTCACGGAGATTATTATCCCTTCTCCATTATATAAGTAGGGGCATTGCCAGAAGATCGAGGGACATGATCATTCCCCTCTATTTGGCATTGGCGAGGCCTCATCTGGAGTACAGTAACTCCTCACTTAAAGTCATCCTGGTTAACGTTGTTTCGTTGTTACGTTGCTGATCAATTAGGGAACATGGTCATTTAAAGTTGTGCAGTGCTCCCTTCTAACGTCTTTGGCAGCCGCCTGCTTTGTCCACTGCTTGCAGGAAGAGCAGCCCATTGCAGCTAGCTGGTGGGGGCTTGGAACCAGGGTGGACCGGCAGCCCCCCTATCAGCTCCCCACTCCCCTAAGTTTCCTGTGCAGCTGCCCAGCTGGCTATCACTTGCTGGCAGTTCAGCTGTCCCCCCACTGCCATGTGCTGCTCCTGCCCTCTTCCTTGGAGCTGCTCCCCGAGTAGGGTGACCAGATGGAATGAAGAAAATATCGGAACACATGGTGGGGGGGTTCCCGCTGGCGGAGCCAAAAAAAAAACACAAACGGAGTCCCGCCGGCAGAGGGGGAGGAAAAAGAAAAAAGCGGAGTCCCGCCGGCGGAACAAAACAAACAAAAAACAGGAGTGTGAAATATCGGGACTAATTGCGTCCTGACCAAACATCGGTCGGGATGCGGGACAAATGCCTAAAAATTGGGACAGTCCCGATTTTATCGGGACGTCTGGTCACCCTATCCCCGAGACTCCTGCTTGCTGTGCAGGGGGGAGGGGAAGAAGAGGGGGGCTAATGTCAGGGTGTCCCCCTTCCCCCTGCTCCCT